CCTTCCGATGTCTTCTATTTTTTTACACTTTTAATAAGTCGAAAGCGTTAACAAGCCTAAAGTTGAATTCACGAATTCATCGTTTCGAGACACAGCGTGAATTCAAAGGGAAAGGTGAAAAGAAGAAAAAGGTGACGAGGGGGTAGAAATGAACCGAGTGTGAGAAGAAGTCAGAAGAGAGTAATTTCAGGAGAAAGCTAAAGGACAGGTTGCTTCCCTCCTCTCTACATTTCTCGTCTTCTCTCTTCTTCTTCGCGACCGAAGCGCAAAAGAAAAAGACAAAGAAATAGATGAAGAAGAGATACGTGGTCGAGCATGCGACTACGTTCTTCCCTACTCTGCAAGTTACACGGTTCACTTAAAGCTGAACACGTCGCCGGCGAACTATCTGCCTATACTAATGCGAGAAGAAACGTTGGTTTGTCACAAATTGTACAATAAGTAATTGTAAAATTACTAAAGTAAAAGAAGAAGAAGAAGTTCTTTAGAAAGAAATTTATTGTCTAATTCACTAATAACCGTGTAGATATACGGACGAACGATATATCAAACATTGAGCATCTCATCTGGAAGAATTCGTTCTCTTTTATTTTATCAACACTGTTGCGCCTCGAGTGTCGAGAGAAGAAAAAGAATGTTCGAGTTAGACTTTTCACGGTGTGTTGCCTCGATTCTCTCCTAATTTCATCCACTTGTTTGTCCCGAATTTTCTTCATTTTTGGAAAATTAGATTCCATCGTTTCGCAATTCCTTTCTTAGGAATTATTTCCCTTCTTCCGTTTTGTTTATATATACACCTACGTATATACGTATATATTTTCATGTTTTATAAATATATTACATCGAATAGAGCAGAAATCCGGTGAACATCATGAAAGATTGAAAGGTCTCGTTTCAATCATGTTCTAAAGATATCTTCAAATATAAAAGTTGCACGACAGCCACCAAACGTTCCTCGATATAGCACGAAAAGAAACTAATCGAAAGCACAGGAGGGTAAACGGACTGGCTTGGTCTTTTCTAAAAACGTTTCAAATTATCTCTCTCTCTCTCTCTCTCTCTCTC